CGCTTCTCTTCTCTTCTTTCTTGTGGCTTCCCTCCCTGTCTCGTGCCTCGCTCGGGCGCCCCCCCCCCCCCCCCCCCCCCCCCCCCCCCCCCCCCCCCCCCCCCCCAACCTTTAAGCCCTATTCTCTCTCCATCTGTGTAAGGGATCGTAACTATCTATATGTACCCTACTACCTAAACGCTTAAGTAGGTTAAGCACGCCTCTATCAAGCTAGCTAGATCCCAGTTTGTGCCAGCTTCTTGGCTAACGCGTCGACATCGTCGTCCTTGCGCTGCGCCGTGGGCTGTTCTTGAGCTTCCTCGGCGTCCTTGACTAGCTTCTCGGCCTTCTCTTCCGGAGAAATTTCGTCTTTCTCCTCCTCCTCCTCCTTCTCCTCCTCTTCTTCTTCTTCTTCTTCTTCTTCCTCCTCGTCCGAATCCAGATCCTCGAGATCACTCAAACTGTCGACGCCCCAGGTGTCTTCATCAATAATGTCACCCCCAAACTTTTCTTTTCGCTCGTCGAGGAGCTCTTGTAGAGCTAGAATAGACTCGTCGTCCTCCGTGAACTTGTTGCCGTTTAGTTCAATCCTCTTCAGCGCCGGGAGACCTTCCTTAGCTGCCGATGCAAAGCCTTTAACACCTAAGGCAGTGATGTCATTGTATTGCAGACGAAGCGTCTCGAGTTTCGGGTTCTGACCCTTGGAAAGGGCCTGAGCGAGGAGGATGCCTCCTTTGGCGCTAAGAAGCGAGTCGCCAATGCCAAGTTCTTGTATGTCTGCCCATAGAGGGACAACCTTTGCTAATGCTCTTGCTCCTTTGATAGTAAAAGTATTGTCTTGTAGATCTAGAATCCTGAGGCCGGTAGCATGGTTTAGGCCCGATGTAAGCAATTGTTCGATCCCTTCTTGCCTGATACCGTTCTGAACCATCTTCACTTCTTTCACCCTGTTATGAAGGCTGAAGGTCTTCGCCCAAGCAAGCATGCTGCCATTTTCCAATCGGTTGCGACCGCAGATGACCGTCTCTAGATACGGAACATCTTGGCCAGCCTTCCTGGCTGCCTCCTTCTTCGCGTGAAGCTCCGAAAGGGCATCGGCAATAAGTATGCCGGCATGAGGTCCCAATCCGTTGTTGTTGAGGTATAAATGCTGGAGCGGCACGTGGCTAGACAGGAAAGCGACCAGAGGCGCTTGGGTGTTGAGGCCGAAAGCATTGTCGTTCAGGTTGATGGTATGGAGGTTGGGCAAATTAAGGATGGAAGTGAGCAGAGAGGATAGAGCCTCAGGAATCTCGTTTAGCAGGCGTCCCGTAAATATGTCGGCCAAGTTTGCGACCTGATCAGCAACAACAGCGTTAGCAAAACTTTTTTTTCTTCTTTTTCTTTCCCCTTTTCATTATGCTAGGGTTCGTTTTATCGTAGTTTAAATCTTGTATGTTTTACCTTCAGTGATTTCTTGGTGGCTAAGACTTCCCCGAGAAGTTTGCAGGCTTCCACACCCAGAGTGTTTCCTAGAATGCGCACTTCCTCGACGTCGTCCATAGCCCTTAGCGGACCGATATGCGCCTCGAGATCTTTAGCCGTGTCTAGCTTCAAGACTTTCCCTTCGAGGGAGAAGACTTTGTTAGGCGTAGCCATCTTGAATTAGGTGTACTAAGCGTAGATAAAAGCTACGATAATCTATAATCTTGGCTTTGTTTTTATTATTATTGTTGTTGTTGTTGGTGTTTCGGGAGATGTTTTGATGTAACAAAAAAAGAATGCGAAGCGAAGCCCATGGTGGGGGAGGGGCAATTGTTACTTAGGTACTAGGGACATTAACGTAACGGGGTAGGCACCTAGGTACTTAAGGTAACTTATTGAATGTCGGCTGTCATCCTTGGAAATCAGCTTGCAGATGCACGTTCATACCTCCTAGGTACCTAATATGGACCTAATGCATTGGTTACATCTGGGCCGGCCAGGTTTTGCCGTGCTTGGGTGTATTGTACAAAATTTAGTAAGCCGTATCCGCTAGTTATATGTTATGTATTGTACAATTTATTAGTCTACCCAAGGTTACCTAAGGTAATAACTTCTCTCGCGTGACACATCGCGATTCTTAATAACTTCAACTATTTTAACACGCTCCTAGGCTTGGTTCAAGAAGGCCTTTAGGGAATGATATGTTTTAAATTTTCCATCTTTCAGCATCTGTCTTATCTCATATCGCGCTCACTATCATGGCAAGCTGCCTTTGACAATCCCTTCTCAGCCTGCTTTAACTCTAGTCTCTCATCACTTCATCCTGCTCAGGATAACCCTGGCGGATCAGCGCCTTAACATCTTAATATCCTTCCCCAAGTCGATATCTACGTTGCTTAAGTAACTTGCAGTCTCATGTTTTTTTCGCATTTGATATACCTCTGAAGGAGCCACATTTTCGAACGAAAGTGTGACGGGCCTTGAGAGTGTATATATTCAATGGAAAATTGTTTCCGATTCAACCATTTCGACAAGTGTTTATTGGCCTTCTACATGACCCATTGTTCACTACGTCAATCTAGACTTCGGTACTAGCTGATACTAACCACACCAGGTACGGATTGCTACTTGCCTCTAGTTGCTGCAAGTTGGTCAGTTCGTAAATATCCCGGCGGGAAGCCATGGATCCCAACACGGGATCGGGACGCTTTATTAACCACCCGCTTGGTTCAGAGCGGACGAGGACGAACCAAAACGGCTCGTTTCCATCCCCAGCTGATGATGACGAAATACCTCTTGACTCCAGCACTGAGGACTCCGATGTTTCCATGTCGGATTCTGAACCAGAGGAAGTACATAATTCCTTAATTTCTACCGGTAACGAGAACCATCCCGTTCAAAATCAACAGCTAGTTTCTGCTGCCCAGCACAGGCAAGATATTTCTAGGAAACGAAAAACCCCAGAAGCAGATAATACTCACAAAAACGTTTCGTCTAAGAAAATAAAGCTAGACGATGAGTGCCCTAGCCGAACTTTGTCAACCGTGACCTGTCCGTTAGACAAATCTCTACTACCTGCCGAAATATGGCATCGCATCTTTACTTTTACTCCCCCAAGAACTCTAGGCAATTTGTTGTCCGTCAATAAGTTGTTCAGCGTATATCTTGATCCGTCGTCCCCCTACCAGTGTAAATCCCCGCCACCTCTTTCTCAATCTTCTTCTCGGTTGCTAAAGCCCGACGTTATATGGCAACTTTCTAGGAGGCGTTTCTGGCCCAGGATGCCGACTCCACTACGACAGAAGACTGAGCTCGATATGTGGCGTCTTGCTTGTGGACGAAGATGCCAGTTATGTGGTAAACCCGATTCATTATCGATAAATTCATCCCATAACCAGAACAAATATAGGCACCAGCCGATTTGGCCGTTTGCGCTTCGGAGCTGCGAGTCTTGTCTTGCAGAGAAGACGATGGAGGTATGTACATTATCCTTTTAGCTACAAGGATACCATCTCACTGTCTCACAAGGAGATTGATTTGCTACTTTCTTCAACACCCTCCTTGCTGACGTCGGCGTTACCCTTCACTTTCATCACCAACGAGAAGCGCATAATATCACCAGAAGCGCTTCAAAAAGGAATAGTTCAACCAGATATACAGGTGACTAAAATATATCTCTCCGAACACGTAGAGAAGCTAAAACAGGAGTTTCTTTCCGCCAAATCAATGGGTGGAGCGACAGCCGAAGAGTGGCTGAAAGGCTTGGAGATTCGAGGAAAGGAGCTTCTGAACGACTCTATGCGATGGGAAAAGTGGACGTCGACCGGCGGGGTAGCCCAAATGCAAACAAAGATGAGTTCTGACAGTGCTCTGAGTGCGGCTATTCCAAGCAATAAAGGTCAGGTCTCAGCAGATTCTTCGCTAGCTCCGAAGGCCTTGTTGATTTCAAGCAGCACAGCCAGACAATATATGTCTAATCAAGGTTATACTGCTTCTACTGCGACGGTATCCCAATCCGCACGCACTCCTGAAGCCACTTCTCCACGTAAGTTACTATACTTCGGGATGTCACAATTATGACTAACACGATAGAAGATGGGCCTGCGACCGGTGCGTCCTCACTGCTAATTAGTGTTCATTCTAATGGATCTCGTGCTCGCACTCGGGAGGAAGCGTTGGAGCTTAAAGCTGCTCGGCGCGCAGAAATTGAGCGACGTGCAATGGAAATTGACCCGCCTTTGGCGCCGACTGTATTAGCCCGCATTCCAGCCTTCCAAGCAGCTATCCAAATTATCTCTTCTCTCGATGACCATGCGTGGGATCTGCTCAAGCCGCGCTTGCTTTCGCAGAGAGCTGCTGCGGAACAGCGCGAACGATGTGAACGAGGGGTCTCGTCTACTCAGCCCGGCCTTATTCTAGAGCAATCTGAAGAACCTGGACAGACTGAAGCAAGCGTGATGATAACTAAGCAGCTCATCGATAAAGCTTGGGATGATGTCCAGGAACCGCTACGCGCGCAGATATCTACATATGCTGACGAAGTCATTCGTGATAATTGGAATGATGGTCGAAAGGTCGATGCGGAAAATAGTCCACAATTCGCTGCCGAAGTTCTTTTACATGTCCGTGAAAGATTTTATGCCGAAATTGAAAAGGAGTCGGCTGCAGCACGCGCTGCCGCCCGAGAGCCGTTTGAAGACCCTCCGGATGGGCCATTCACGCAAAAGCTCACTCTTGAAAACATGAAGTGGTTATTTGATGTAAAAATAAAACCCCACACTGAGTTGTACCGGAAGGACTTGTTTTTCTGTAACGGTTGCGAAGTCGGTTTCAAGGCCTTCGGGTTCGAAGGGGTTATTCAGCACTATGCTGCTAAGCATACAAACGCTCTCAGTCTAGGCAGTGTTGTGGTCCACTGGCGCGCTGAGTGGCCAGAGATTCCACCCTTCAAAGCTGACCCTCGTGTCGTCAAAGCTGCATCATCTGCGTCGTCCTATGGAAATTTGCAACACCAGGGCAGTAACAATCCTTACCATCGCAATACTGGCTCTTATCCTGCCGGCTCAACTCTAATGCCCTTTCAGCCATCTCCATATGTTACTGCGCCTCCTAGCTATGGGAATCCAGCATATGGCCCGGCGATACAACAGCTGGCTCCATACGGGCATGGAAACCCTTATATCCAAGGACCACAGGAATACGCTCTTCCCTATCCTCCACAAGGGACTATTTACCCTAACTCATATATACCTTTTCCCCCAGGGATGCACACCGAGTCGCCAACCTATCCTCCCTATCTCGGACACAATTATAATATACCTCAGAATAATTCCCAAGTAAACTTCCAAAATCCCCATGGTACCCTTCTTAACAAATATCGCGTTGAGCTTGAATATTTGGCTCGAACTTCGCGTGAACTTTGGGCTTCCACAGCTGGCTTGAAAGAGCTTCCAGGAAATATCAGGGTACACGTAGTTATCTATCATGTGGTGGAAAGATTTCGATCTAGATTCCATGAGAGTCCCCCATTAGCTATGTTCATTGATGGACTTTCAAATAACAAGGAGATGCGTCCTGTGCGCAACGTCAATGGCCTGATGTGCAAAGCATGCCGCCTTAATCTGGGCAACGAAGCACCAACCGAACAGGATATCAAGACGTTTTCCCTACCACAGCTGGTGAACCATTTTCAACAAAAGCACGTGAACCAACCGCTAGCTATAGGTGTACCTTACCTCAACTGGACTATGGACATGGTACATATACCCGATCTTTCTACACTATCTGGTCTTCAATACTTGGCGAATATAGATGGTCAGAAATCTACATTGATATATAGTGCTTTCCCGTCGACACAGCATCCTAGCAGCTATCCACAAGATGCACCTACTGCTGATACCCAAGCCGATGTTGGGATTGTAGCATTTACCAGCCAACAAGCAACTAACAGCGACGCTGTATTGTTTTATCCTGCATTTAGGCACGACGTTAATCCCAGCGCAAAACTAGACTTGTCACGATTTACCACTGTGAGCCAGAAGCTGAATTCTGACCAGTCAATGGTTACAGGTAGCCCTTCGCCGGCAACACGCCAGAAACTGCAGCAGACTGATTCGGGCCGGTCTTCTTCAGAAACATGGCAGAGGACTAAGACAAGGAAGCAGGGTAGGCCTCTTTTTAAAGACTATAGAAAGACATCTAGCCATAGTTTCAAGAAACGCAAGGGTGATGTATCAGATACGTCAGCCAGAATCAAATCACAAGAACCTAGTGAAGGAGATCTGATCACGGAAGAAGAGCGTCGCCAGGAAGAAGAAATTCGGGCAATGTGGGCTGCAGATCGCAGGGAGGCGGCTCTAGTTGCTTCTAAAAGCAAACCTCCGAACCAAGTTGCGGAGCCTGATGCCGCAATTGCAAAGTCGGAAATAGGAAGTCCAAGAAGCCATTCTGCTTCGCCCACTGAAAGACCTCAGGAACCTATAATACTCCAGGAGCACGAAGAAGATGATCTGATGGCTGGTCTTGAATCTCAACTCGATCGGCAGCAAGTAATAAGTGAACGTTTTGACTATCGATCACAAGAAGATAGAGATCTATATCGTGAGACGCAACCCCTTTATAGAGAGCAAGACGGTCCTGGCCCGCATGGTTATCCTAACCAAGGCCGTTACGAGCAAGTAACTTTAGCATCCACTGGATATGTTCGATATGAATCGGCTCATTGCTTTGACCAGTACGAATCAACTGACGCCAGTCTGTCGTCCATTTACCATAGCCACGGATCTACGCGACCTATAGCACCTCTCGATCGCACATTACATGACCAGCCTTCCCGTCAGGAATACTATCGGGCATATATGGACGATCCTCGAGCGCGCGCGCCCATTCCAGAATATGCTACAGCTTACGAAGTTGTAAGGGTTCAAGATTCCCATGGGGAGTATTTGATCAAACGGCCGATCAGGCTTGAACGAGAATCTACCTACGCTGCATCCGAGAACAGGCCTAGGTATGATGATGCAGCGGGTCAATATAGAAGTTATGGGGAATATGATTCTTCTAGCAGCCGGTTCGGATATGAATCCGACTTAAGGTCGGACTTCCCCCCACGGCAGCCTATTCGCGAGCCTGGTTTCATGGAAGAAGTTAGTATGGCCAAGAAGAGCTACGAATCATTCTCGGGAGGCGACGTCACCACTTATAATAGCTACGATCCTAGAGTTTCTTCAACTCCATCGAACTCTAATGTTAGACGACAAACTCGATATTAGAAACCACGATCTGTAAATGCCGGTTAAGTGCAGTTATATGTAATGCTTAGTACTGACGAAGTGGCCACTTCTATGCCAGTAGTAAAATTCACAAAAGCAATGCCCCAGGGATTCCAAAGCAGATGTGCTTGAATTTAAAGTGAAGTCTCTTCAATCAGAAAACTCAAATACAAAGTAGTATACGTATATTATATAGAGTAACTAAGACATCTTTCATAATTACTTGGTGATGCTCCGCTCTAGTTGTTATCTTTCACAGTGCTCTTGTCATGTTCTGGAAACACTTATTAGGGAAGGCAATTATTGCAGTGTAGTGAAATATCCATTGTTAATTTACCTAACGCTTACCACCAATACCGGAACAATAGGATCTCTCACAGAACCCCGCCATGCATGAAGTTGCCATGGCCGTTTCCGGTCGTCATCGCTTCTCTAATTCAGCCAAGGACGATGCTGTAGCCTTCACTAATCCTATCCCGCAATGCTCTCCTAAACTACATGACACCTACCATATCCCGGCTCGTTCCCCCTAGGAAATCCCATACTCTCCCAAAACCTCACATTCCAGCACTTCCATGGCCTGTATCGCATCCGGGACGCCCAGCCAGTCGCACAGATGCCTCCCCGCTTCCAGCACCTGCCACAGAGTCTGCTCCTCAGCGCCCTGCCACTCGTCCCACTCGCCTAGTGTTACGGTTTCCGCCCAGCGCATGAGCCGGCCCATAGTCTCGATGGCCAGGCGCTCGACGTTAAGGACGTGCAGGCGGTCGCGCTGGGAGCCGGACCAGAGCATGCTGCAGATGCTGCTTGTGTTGAGTAGGAGGGAAGGGGTAGATGGCGGGATGGCGGTGTGGGTGGTGCTGTTGCTATGGCTGCCAGTACGACTGCTCCTGCTCCCACTGCCGCTGCCGCTGCCGCTATCGCGGCAAACCGTAGACCACCCCTGACTAGCTGCCCTGGCCCTCCGGTTCGCGATGTGTGTGTCGATGTACGTCCGCGTCGACTGCAGACATATGTCGTGGACGGCGCGTATCGCCGCGCAGATGTTTACGAAGCGCCGCGTGCTACTACTACTGCTGCTGTTGCTGTTGCTGGGGATGCTGACGGTACGGCTGGAAGAGGCGGCTAGCGAAGAGGCGCGATTGAGATTGTCTGTTGGCGTTGAGATGGAGGCGGAGGAATGAGGAAGTGTAGAATCTGGGCTGTGCCCGGATGGTGGGGATAGCCAGGGCGGATGCTGGGTTAGGGACGTAGGCGAGTGTGTGCCTGGCTCGGCCTTGATCATACGTGGAGGAGGACACGAGCATTCCCCGGGTGATAACGGTAATGATTTGGCGTTGGCGGCTTCCCATTCAGCAGCAGTGACTGGTAGGGATTTTGTGCCGGTTACTTTTGTAGGCGCCTCAGGCCTCATGGCTATATCCTCCGGTGTAGGTGAAGTAGCAGGTGTATCTTGAGGCCTGCGATAAATAAAATCACTAGGTGAAGTTGTAGAAGCTAGCATGATGAATATTGGGAGGGGAACTAGGAAATTTAAAGCCATAGGTTTCGGTCGGTATAAATAGCACGGCAATACTGGTAATGGTTGGGGGAACCGCAGGTTTCTAGAGGTTTACAACAACAACTAAGGGCTCTCCAAGGGACTTTCGAGTTACTGCAAGAAGAGAAACGGGAAGAAACACGGGGCGGCAAGAACAAAGACGATAGATTTTAAGACACGTCGATTTGATGCTGATGTTTATTATCTGTGAGTCTACGTGTGCCAGATGACAATTCTACCATCAACGCCGCTTGCTTTGTATCCCGTTAGTATTTCTATAGAACAGCCTGGGGCTTTGATGCGGGGAAGATAACTTACTGCTGAACTTGGTGACGGCTCCACCATTAGACTCGTATATGCGTATGGTCGAGATGGTGTTCTGGTGAATAGTCTTTAGTTGGGTATCATCTTTGACCTTGCCTTTCAAATCCATCTGCCTGAACATGTTCAAGGCAGACTCTTCCCGAGCGTCTCCTGAACCGGGCCTTCCCTTAGATTCCAAAGTGCCGCTCAGCTGCCACCCAGAAGCGTCGCCGCTGAATCTGAATGCCTCGCAGTCGTGGCCAGCTGCGATAATTTCATTTTCGCCGTTCCAAATCAGGCTCATGAAGGGTAAGAGCTGGGTGTTGACGCTAATGACGGCTCGCGGGGGTTGCTCAGGGGCAGTAGGGTAGACGACCGTAATGCTGCTGTCATGTGCAGCAAAAGCGAGAGCGTCGCCGCTTGGAGAGAATGCGACAGAGTGTACCCAACCAGCGGAGTTGTTTAGGAATTCACCGCAGACGGTATTAAACGGTAGACGTTCTCCCCAAACGCTAGGCTCGGGGCGAGCATCAATGCCCTTGATGAAGCTAGAGAAAACTCTCGCGTGGGCATCGGTAGAGCCAGCAGCAAGCAGCACCGAGTTAGGGTGCCAGTTGACAGTGGTAATAGTGCTTCGAATAGGCTTCTTTAGGTGCTTGGAAACCCACCAGTCGTTCTCCTCTTCGAAGTAACAGATAGCGATGACCCTATCGCCAGAACCAACAGCGAACTTGGTCTCAGACGGAGACCAGCGAACGAAGGTAGCCGCTCGAGCAATTCTAAGTAACACCAGAGTTGGCTTGTATCCGGTGGGAGATGGCTCCCAAACTAGAGCATTACGGTCTGTAAAATCGTGTTAGTATAAGCCCACACATACGTACATACATATCTAATTTACATCATCAGATGTAGCATATGGATGAGATAGAGGGGAGGTAGATAGACCTTGGGAACACGTGACAATTCGGCCGCTGCCTGGAGCAATATCGACGCCGGTGATGGTTTTATCGTGACCTTTCAGCTCATCTTTCAATTTGAAGGCACCTCCTACTTTTCCGTATAGTTCGATAGTAGAGTCCTTCGCCACCGCCAATGTCTGACGATCGGCTGAGAAAGAGTGGTCGGCAATAGGCCGGTGAAAGAGATGGTGAACCTCTGGGGCGGCCATTTTTAATAAGTATATCTTCTTTCTTTTATTCCTTCTTTTCTCTCTCTCTCTCTCTTCTTTTAGCTTTCGTGCCTACCAGTGATAGGAGTATAGCTCTCTACTACCACGTCGAGGTAGATGGTAGATGGTAGATGATGATGATGTCTTAAAAGATTTGGGAGGGAGAAAGGAGGTGTAAGTTAACAGCCAGCATGCTAGAAGCTAGAAATGCGAGGTCCACCAGCGGTGGGGTGCAGCTTGGGCTTGGCCTTATACTTTGGCTCCGCAAACGTGCGTCACCTATGTGAGCTCAAGCCACAGTATCCCACCAACTATGGCAGACCCATTTTATGTACATTGTTCGATGTGGCTTGTATTTTGCCATAATTCAACACGACCACCGAGATCATCAACCAGCTTTCAAGCCTTACCCCGTAGAAGCTTGAAAATTCCACATCACTGATGCGGAGTGCAAGGCATCAGCAATCGAAATTAGTTGTGCAGCACGTTGGGAAGTAATTAATTATACCCGATAGACCTATTTCTTCACAATGGCCACTGCCGTCGCTGCACGCGGTCAACCGCCCAAGACAGGCGGCAAGACGCCTCCAATCCCACCAAATCAGACGTATGTTTTCGAGATTGCGCGACCAGATCCTCGTCTAGATCTTCTGTCTAACCGTGTTTTTCAGGCTCTACGTTACGAATCTACCTTCGAATAAGATAAACAAGACGGATCTGAAGACAGAGCTCTACATGCTATTCTCGACTTACGGTCCTGTGCTTGACATTGTCACTCTAAAGACTATGAAGATGCGTGGGCAGTCTCATGTCGTATTTCGTGATGTGCAGGCTGCGACTCAAGCACTAAGGTCTTTACAGGGTTTCAAACTCTTGGGACTGGAACTTGTATGTAAATCTTTCTATTATTTCGCCTATTTGCGTTAAGCCTGTCTAACTAACGCGTGCCTGTTAGCGGATCGAGTATGCGAAGTCCAAATCGGATATCATCGCAAAATTAGACGGTACATATAAACTTCCGGGTTCAGCCGCTGCTAACGTCGAGATGACCGAGGCGCAACAGAGCATTTTTAATGCTCCAGCACCTGGTACTACTATCACCAGTACACCCGCCGCAGATTCTACTCCCCACGGTCTTCCTGCGAAGCCTCCTCAGAGCTCCGACCATGCGATGACGGATGCCGGCGGTCTTGATGCCCGCGGACAAAAACGAACTCGCGATGAAGAGGAGGAGGAAGACAGCGACGAAGATGTGGCAATGGAGGAGGATAGCGATGATGAATGAAGACCTGCTAGTGTCAAACTTGCTGAATGAACGCCCTCAGGACAAAGCCTCCTTTTCAACATCGCTGGTTGTCAGGGCTGTAGGGTGTGCTTCATCCCCTTACGTATAGACATCTGAAACCTTATCCGGCATTGACGGCGGCCATTTGTTGAGGGGCCCAAAGCCCGACGTGCCCTCCGACCAGGCCGATCCATACCATGAGATAGTCTTGCTTGGCGCAGTCAAACCCAGCCATGGCCTCTCCGATGGCACACGGATGAACGAAGAACGAAGGAAGTCCGGTAATAGGGTGGTGCTGTAGGCGGCACGGTTAGTCACAAGGTAGTGATAATAAAATACCCAATATGAGAACCAAGTAATTGACTTCTTGAACAGAACAAAAAAATTCACTTACATCGATTGAGATGGCACCTATGGGGCCGACGTATCGGAGAGAATCTCTGAGCTGTTCAGGAACTAAGTAACGGAAAACAGATTCGATATCAACTGGTGACTCTTCGCCCGGTAGGCCATGTAGACTGAACCAGAGACAGGGTGATCGATATGTCGGGTGATAATGGATCTCATAAATGACGTGGCCTGCTTGGAAATGTGGCCGAGATGGTCGTTTAGGAACAACCTCCTGCGAACATGTTAATCATCTATACCTCATCATTAAAGAAACTTCAGCCTTAGCAAGACGTACCTTGTCTAATTCTTCCATCTTAATCATCATATCATCAGCATCTAGTTGCATTTCTTGTTCTTCGCCCAAGGAAACACCGCCCATCTTGGCGGCCAGCTCGTCCTCGGCTGCTGTCCTGTTCTCTAAAGGTCGTGTAATCTGTAGGAAAGTAGTACGCCCTGAGCCAGGCTCAAATGCCAATTCCAATGCTGTGTGGACATGAAGACGCCAGTCTTTACGCAAGGGACCTAATGTAGCACGGCGGTATCTTCGATCCAGATAATGGCATACCTCGGCAAACTCCCCTTTGGTAAGATACGGGTAACCTTTGTAGCTCGAGCGATGGGAATTAGAAGCGTCCATTGTGCGTGCGTACGTGTTGTGCAACCGGTTGCGATTGCTGCTGTGACAATAGTTCAGTGGGTTGGATTAAAGACTTCCAAGGTCAGAGACAGGATCAAGATATCCATATATCTCCAGGTACATAAGGCCACATATATACAAGGTAGGTAGGTAGGTAGGCGGTGCCTTATATACCTAGGTAGGTATTATTTTTATTTTTCGTGATTCAGATGGTTCCTGCCAACTGAATGTCACTGCCCGGTCTTTAGCATAAGCTGATAGTGCCTTCCTGATACCTTAGGTACGTACGTATTCTGGGCGCAAAGGGGACGTACATGTAGTTGGCTGATTTATATGAATATGTGAAGCTAAAGTTCACTACAAAATATGAGTGAATGTATTCGAGGTACCTCATTATATTAGAAGGCATGTATTGTACCTAAGGTACCCAATATAACTCAGGCTTCTAGGTACCTAACCTTAGGTACATACATGCCCGGGCAAGATATACCTAACCCAACGTCAGGCAGGTACTTCCCCCTTATAACGCTAGCGCGCATGTACCGATGTCAACCTAGGTAAGTGGGTCAAAACTTTATGCTCAAGTCTTATTGCGGACCTTAGGCACACGTTGACGTTGTAAAACGACTGGCGTGTCCTTAATACCTAGGTAGGTACCCCCCTCCCGAAATATACCTATGTACCTACCTATAACATATATTTTGCATTGTAAGTTAGCGGCACTCGACCTTTTCCTTTTACTACGTCCAAAGCTAACGGGGAATTTCTTCCTACGTGCCTCTGCCTTTAAATAGGCGAATTGTAAAATTACGGCACGGTGAGAAGAAGAATGATCATAGAATACCAGATATGATCTTGTCATTGTCATCATCTACTTGGGCTGTTTAGGCTAGACGTACTTCTAATTTCAGTGCGCGCGCGTACGGATTGCTCCTAGGCCCTCAGTGCGAGTCTGCGAGACGTCCATCTCCAACAAGCTGCTACTACTAATGCGTGTTCTTTGTCGCCGCTACATCCTGCCCCATGAATGTACGCGATCCCTTTGGTATCCATCGGAAGAACGCTCTATCCATTCTTAAAACAACCGTACCGCGCTCTGCCGTCACCTTTACCGAACGCGCCGTCGAGGCCAGTATTAATGCTCTCGAGAAGGGCAAGAAAGCCGTCGACGATCTTGATATGTCATTTACCGTCCCTAAAAATGTTCCCTCGTTTACCAACCCGCAGAGGATAGTGGAGGATCACGTCTGGGGTAGCACTGCAGTCGCACGAGGTGGGAAGGGCTCGCAAACCAACAAAAACGCTGGAATACTCGGCGGCGTGCAGGATAAGGTTGGAAGCCTTTTCGACGATCGAAATTCTCTCCCCATGTACAAGGACAAACCCTATGCATATCCGCCCTCCTACCGAGCCAAGCCTCTGTGGCGGAGAAAGCGGATAATTGGTCTCGTACTGTTTGTTACCCTGCTATTGTACTATTTTGGTGCATTCGGTCATCATCGTGATACCGTCGTCGCTTCAACTCCCATATGGGCCTGGCTTACTGCAAGCTCCGAATCGGGGAAGACTGCCGACTGGTTGAGGCGGAGAGAGCGCGTTGTTGAAGCTTTTACTCTAAGTTGGGATGCTTACGAGCGATATGCCTGGGGTGAGATATTTTATTCAAGCCAATGGCTACGGTTCATTTATGGTCTTTGCTAACTCGTACCTAGGCTATGATGAGTTTCACCCGATATCCAAAAAGGGTGTTCAGATGGCTCCCGGAGGAATGGGCTGGATCATCGTGGATGCTCTGGACACTATGATTTTGATGAATCTTACCTCTCGTGTCACCCACGCGAGACAATGGATTTCAAATTCCCTATCGTACGATCAAGATCAAGATGTTAGCACCTTCGAGACGACAATACGTATGCTAGGCGGTCTTCTCTCCGCTCACTATCTGTCTAATGAGTTCCCTGGGTTAGCACCCTTATCAGACGATGACCCCGGTGCGCCTGGAGAGGATTTGTATCTGGAGAAGGCAAAGGATCTTGCTGACCGACTTATGGCTGCTTTTGATTCACCCTCCGGAGTCCCTTACGCCAGCGTGAACATTGGCAAATACAAAGGTATACCAGCTCACGACGAAGGTGGCGCGTCATCCACCGCCGAGGCAACCACATTGCAGCTTGAGTTCAAGTACCTTGCTAAATTGACCGGCGAGAAGTACTTTTGGGACAAAGCCGAGAAAGTAATGGAAGTTGTTGATAATAACGGGGTCGAGGATGGCCTAGTGCCTATCTATATTTATGCCACGGATGGCACTTTCAGGGGTCAAAACATCCGATTAGGGAGCCGAGGAGACTCGTATTATGAGTATCTCATCAAGCAATATTTGCAAACTAATAAGCAGGAACCAATTTATCTAGAAATGTGGGATGAGACTCTACGGGGAGTTCGCAAGCACCTTATCACTTATACTGAACCTTCTGGGTTCACCATAATTGGAGAGCGGCCGGATGGTCTGAAGGGCGCCTTGTCCCCTAAGATGGATCACTTGGTCTGCTTCATGCCAGGCACAATTGCCCTTGCTGTCACGGGTGGGTTAACAGAGGCTGAAGCCAGAAAAAAGCCGACATGGACAAAACAAAACGAGGCGGACATGAAACTTGCCAGGGAGTTGATGCAGACTTGCTGGGGTATGTATAAGTGGATGGCTACTGGTCTCGCAGCCGAAATCACATACTTCAACATTGCCAATCCACCTGCTCCCGAGTCTGCTCCTCACCACCCGCCAGCTGAGTTTGATCCGGACCCGCAGGCGGAGTGGCGGAAAGATTACTCGGTTCACTCTATGGATGTTCATAACCTACAGCGGCCGGAGACGGTAGAAAGCCTCTTTTACATGTGGAGAATCACGGGTGATATCAAATATCGAGAATGGGGCTGGGAGATGTTCAAGTCATTCATGAATCACACGGCCGTGCCAGATGGCGGGGGGTTCTCGAGTCTTTCGAATGCAAACAAGGTCCCACCCATAATGCGAGACAATATGGAGAGTTTTTGGCTGGTATGACCCCTATTAATCCCTTTACTCTGGTTTTTTCCTGTATCTTCTAACGCGTCCTTGAATTGACAGGCGGAGACACTGAAGTACTTCTATCTTCTCTTCTCTCCCACCGATCTCCTTCCATTGGATAAGATGGTCATTAATACAGAGGCACATATCTTCCCTCGGTTCGACATGGGCCAGCTATTTTCGACGGGGTGGAGGCGGAAACCGAGAGACGCAGACGGAAAGATCATTCAATAAGTGATGAAAAAAAAAAAAATTGAGCATATATACTGCTTATATCATGTTTGCCTACTTTGAGGAGCATCATTGGCGTAGTGTAGAACTTGGGGGGTTTAACACCCTCGACAGCTGCCGCTTAAGTATATACCTACCTAGGTACCTTATATGGCACGCATAAATATGTACAAACGTATTACAGTGCTTAATCCTAAGGCGATAACGCAAGTGATGCATTATTGACATCATGGTTGAGATTATAAACTGGACCTAATTTGTACATGGAGAACTACCTAATACTTCACCACCGGTGTTTTTGATGCCGTGGTACACATAAAGATGCAGTGCCGGCATGTAAAATATCTGGATTACCTAGGTACCTAGGTACGTAGTTCCATATATGTGCATAGTAATTTATGAGTATTTATGAGATCGATCTGGGCCAGATCCTGGGAGAGTTTGTCCCCCATGCACGCTATCTACAAATATCCACTATTTAAGTGTACCCAAACAGGGGTTCTGTAGGCGGCATACATAGTATGTAGGTACCTAGATACCTGCATACATACATACCTTATACGTATGTACCTAGGTAGGTAAATATAGTATATTAGGTATCTCTTTACATAAAAAAAGTTCACGACAACGACCTGAGGACGCGAACGTGCATATCGCCGTCGACGAGATACCCAATTGAGCGCACCAACACTTTATATATTAAACTCCAATCAATTCCAGCTATCGACTCGTGTTCATCCGCGGCGCAATACCCCGCGCGCGATGAACATTCCACCATGCCGCCGTCGAACCGGGACATTGAGATGAGCATCTTCCCGATCAAAGAGGACTCGCTGGCGCAGGGCAGCAGCTACACGATGCGGGAGCCGCTGTACGGGGACGAATCGTCGTCCTCGCGCACGCGGTTCCTGAACCGTATCGTCGACGGGTTCCGCCGCGACCCTAGCCAGCGCATCACGCCCGAAGACCCGCTCGATGCGATACACGCTGTGGAGGCGGCGCAGTTAAGGACTCCTATGCTAGGAGGAGGAGGGGGAGGGAGAGGGTCGTCGTCTGGATCATCGGCCGGTTGGCATCATCCGTACGATGTTAGAGCGGCGAATCTGCAGACGGCGCAATCGCATCTTGCGAGGAAGTTGAAGGGCAGGCATTTGCAAATGATTGCCATTGGGGGATCAATTGGTATACTTTTTTTGTCTTCGTTTTTTTTTTGCCTAGCTTTGTGTTCGTCATGGAAAGGAGAGACAAGACAAAGAAAGAAGACAGTGCGCTGACGCGTTGTTCAATGGCGATAGGAACGGGGCTCTTCGTCGCTTCGGGCCGCGCACTTGAGGTAGGGGGCCCAGCGTCGCTGTTAATTGCGTATCTTTTCATCGGATGCATGCTATACTGCACCGTGCAGGCGCTCGGCGAGCTTGCCGTCTCGTTTCCGGTTGCGGGATCCTTTTCTGCATATTCGACGCGCTTTCTGGACCCGTCGTGGGGATTTGCAATGGGTTGGAAGTATGTCCTTTTTCCCCGTGAAGTGCTCGGTAAGGGATAATTGCGGCTTACACACGCTCTTCTACATAGCTACGCCCTGCAATGGCTTGTCGCGCTGCCCCTCGAAATCATCGCCGCTTCGATAACCATAACATATTGGAACCCTGACCTAAATAAAGCTATCTTCGTGACCATATTCCTACTCGCAGTTGTTGCCATCAACCTGTTTGGTGTTAAGGGATATGGTGAGGCCGAATTTGTTTTTGCCATTATCAAGGCTGTCGCTGTCATCGGCTTCATGTAAGCTTCCTCTCCCTTAGGAGCTTTTTCGTCTCGTCATGGCGGACCTTTATTAACTTCGTTTACCGCTTCAAGCTTGCTAGGAATCGTTTTGAATATCGGTGGTGTTCCAGGAGGAGGGTATATAGGGGGTTTATATTGGCGCACGCCAGGCGCATTTCACAATGGCTTCAAAGGCCTTTGCAGCGTCTTCGTTACGGCGGCTTTTGCCTTCGCCGGAACAGAATTGGTCGGGCTCGCCGCAGCTGAAACGGCTAACCCGCGCAAGTCATTGCCAACGGCTATCAAGCAGGTCTTTTGGCGGATTACTCTGTTTTATATCGTGGCTCTGTTTCTCATTGGCCTACTCGTACCTTATGATGATCCGCGTCTTCTCATTCCAGGATCAGCGTCTGCTGCCGCATCGCCTTTCGTCATTGCCATCGAGAATGCGGGCATCGAGGTCCTGCCCTCGGTAATGAATGTCGTTATCCTGATCGCTGTCCTATCTGTTGGAAACTCTTCCGTCTTTGGTTCTTCGCGAACCCTTGCCGCGCTGGCGGACCAGGATCAAGCACCCAAGATTCTGTCGTACGTCGACCGTCGTGGACGGCCCTTGGTCTCTATTATTATTTCGTCGTCGATGGGCCTTCTAGCATACCTTGCTGACCTCAACGAGCAAAGCATCGTGCTGGACTGGCTCGTTGCCATCTCTGGCCTCTCTTCCATCTTCACCTGGGCCTCCATCTGCCTCGCACACATCCGCTTCCGCCGTGCTTGGGCACTCAAAGGCCACAGCCTGCGCGAACTAGCCTTCAAGTCGCAATGCGGCGTGTTCGGATCCTATCTGGGCCTTGTCTTTAACATCCTAGTCCTGATAGCACAGTTTTGGGTCGGTACTCGACCCGTCGGTTGGGAGGAGTTGTCGCCCAGCGAGCTTGCGCAGAACTTTTTTCTGCAGTACATGGCGTTCCCAGTCGTCGTGGTGTTTTACGTCGCCCATAGGTACTGGGCGCGTACCTCCTTCATTAAGTTGGCCGACATGGATATCGATACTGGGCGGAGAGATTTCAATCTCCCGATTTTGCTAGCCCAGGAGGCGGAGGAGAGGAGGGGTTGGCCGAAGTGGAAGAGGGTGTATAAGTTCTTGTGCTAGAGTAGTTAGAGAACAAGGAGGGGCTTTGTTACGATTTATGTTGCGTTACCTTTCGGTGCTGTGTTTTTCTTTTTCTTTTTTTTTCTTTTTCTTTTTGGGGTGGGGAGTATTGGGTTGATGGATCTCTGGGAGGAAAGAATGTGGCGTTTTTATTACCGACGATCTCGAGAGGTACGAAGGAAGCGGTTTGTTTGGGCTGTCGAAAGGGAGTTTTCGCGTCTCTTGTATTATTATATTTGGGGTAAGTGGCGAGGCGTTCTATGTCGGTTCTTTTTCTCCTTTCGTTCTTTCAATTTTCGCGTGTCGAGATTTTTCGACATAAAGGCCTCGTTTGGTTGGTATTCCATTGGCTAGAGAATATAAGCTACCTAGATCTATTGATTGCATAGAAAGTAACATCAGCTAGATAGATGTATAAGAGCAGTGATTAGAAACTATATAGCGTCACTGCTCTCGTATTATGCTTGTGTGCTTTCAGGCTTGATTAATTCGCGAGGCCGTGTAGATATTTAACTTATCACTTCTTATACAAAGACACCTTATGCTCAGCAGCAGTATGAGTATGATGTTTTCCTATTGACTCGTTGCTTATCGATTTTAATTAGAAGGAAGGGAATTACCTATGTACAAGCTGCTAGAATGTACATAGAAAAGACAATTGTATACCTAGTAATAGCCAGGAGAGTAGCAGCAGACTCATAACAGGTACCTACCTGAGGTAGCTGAAGCGATTCGCGCCGCAGTATTACCCACTTAAATCCTTTATTGCTCCCACAAGTGCTTTAACATGGTGCAAATATTTATATGGCGAGTTCGCAAGAGTACCTATACTTGACTAAACCTCAAACCAATTACTTGTCCAGAGGATATCCTATAATTCCCGCCTCGCAGGCATAGACTTGATTCTTGGCGTTCTTCTCGTAATTCATGGGCAGCATTTAGGCATCTTCATACATAACAAATAAGATTTGTATTGCCATGCTTTGATTTCTCTCCCCGCGCCGGGATTATGCTAGATGACCTAGAAATCCCAGTTGAACGACGTAGCGGTTGCGGGTTGAACCTTTCTCCTGCCTTCTGGCTTGATAGTATGGCTGCCATCCTCATCGCTGAAAAGCCAGTTGCGATTAGAGCCCTTTCCGCCGCCCATTCCGTCGCCACCGATGCGGATTCCCCGCTCCCCGTCTGGCCCAGGACCTTTAGACACACCAATAGGTTTGTTTTCTTTTTCCTTTGGTATAGGGGATTGGTCATAGTTCGACCAGTTGGCGTCCATCATCTTGACAACCTTTTTACGGTCTTCTCCTATCACAGGTTTGGATTGTGGCTTTTGAGCTGGCGAATTGTCGGTCATGTCCCAGTGAGATTCAAAATCTCGACCACGGTCCTTCAAGTTCGTGATGGCTCCCAAGGGTTGGGCCTCACTGGCAGGAGGCGTCCCATTTCCGTCCTCGTTGTACAAATTGTTCTTGTACAAGCCAAGTCCATTGTTATGCGTTGCACCGCGGGGACGTGCAGCACGAGGCGCACCACTAGGAACTCCGTCATCTATGAATTCGAAATGAGTCTCGGCATCACGACGAGGTTTAGCCGCTGCGGGGTTTCGCTCTGGACTATCTGGTACCTCATCATCTTCATTTCCCCAATGGCGAACATTCTTTTGTTGCAACACCTTCGATGGCTTCACTTTTTGTGGAGTGACAAAATCATCAAACGACCACTGACTGATATGTTTGGCCTTTTTAGTTGTTTCCTCAGTAGGTGGCGGGACCTGCTCTGGCTCGTCAGAGCCGTCAGTAAAGTCAAAGTGACTGAACTTTTTAGGGTTAGGACGGTAGAAACGATTAGGAGAGGCGACATCTTCAAGTGGATTGCTCTCTTCCACGATCTCTTCGTCTTCAAATAGTCGGCTTGGCTGGAACTTTTTCTCAACGCCAGCCTTAGGAGCGACCACTTTGCTTGGCGATTCCGACCGATCACGACCAGGGCTTTCGACAGGCTCGTCACCCAAGATCTCCATGATATCGCGTTGTCGTGGCCGAGCTCCACCCCTAGGAGAGATGACGGTGGCTATGCTCTCGTCGGATTCTTCGCGAGGAGCGAACAATGAGAGCGAGGCATGAGGATCGCGTAGGGCATTATTTGAGTTGCCACGAGCGCGTGGGGCAGCTTCAACAGGGTCCTCGTTGGAGACACCATTACTCGAGGACTTTACGCAAGTCTCGATCAACTTGATTTGGTCTTTGCTGTCGCGAATTGGCCAGTTGCGACCTGACTTGCCGATAACATCGAGCTGCTTAAGGAGGGAGCCTTGATCCCATGACTGACGGATCTGTAGAATTTTGCCGTTGTTATCGAAGGTAACGATGTGCATCTAAGCCTAGTATTAGCCAAGTATAAAGTGGTAAGCATGAAGTAGCGCAAACCTACAATGTGAATATAGACAGTGCGATCGGCTAGGAAATTGTCGTCGAGACCAGGTAGATAGGGCCCACCACTAATGGCAAACTCGAGTACGGTATCGACTTCAGCAGCGATGGCATTTTGGCCTTCTATAACGGAAAGAAACTCTATCTTCTTCTTCTTCAGCTGCTTGGTCGTGGCATTGAGGTGCTTGAGTATGTCGGCTGAACCTCTGTAACTAGAAGTAGTGGTTATGTAGTGGAGGGAGGCATCATCTGCTAATTGGGACGAGTTTGGTGCAGCAAGGAACTGCTTGTAAACAGTCGCCAATGCCATGGTAATTTATGTTTGGGTTAACTGACGCGTACGAGTATATTTGGATATCTCGACTCGGGCCTTCTCTTTGTGCTTCGTGTTGGCTATAGAGCGGAATCGATAAAGTGTTTAAAGCAAGCAGTCTATAGTAGAGTACTATAAGACGACACTATAAGACGATTATGTAGTTGAGGTGGGCGTGGGGTGAAGAGAGGAGGATGTGTATAAAAAAAAGAGGAGGGAAGAAGAAATGAAATGAAATGAAGAGGAAAAAAAAAGTTGTGAAGGGGTAGTAAGAATAGCAAGAATGCGTCGCGCGTCACTAAGGCAGGCAGTAGGTGATGGAGGGTGAACGGGAGACCGGGGATGAAGAAAGAGACGCGGTTGCGACAGAAACGTATGAAGCGTGCTGCCCTTATTTAGGTACTTGCCTTCCCTACCGTACCAAAAAAGTGTAAGAGATAATTAAATGGAAGGAGCATGAGACAGACACCTTGTCGCATTGCTTTCTGTTTACACCCACCAACCCTGTCTAACACGTTTAGCCCGTCCTGCCTACCTGCCCGGCCCCTGGTACTACTACACTAGTTACGACTGTAGCTTCCGTAGTTACCTAACCTTAGGTATATGATATGAGGTACTAGATAGGGTTTGAAGTTTGCTGTTCTTTCAACCGATCTTACTACTACTAGGTACTTACCTAGTCAACGTTATATAAAAGTACTTAAGCAAACATCCAAACGATATAATACAATACACCTTGTATACTTCTACATATATCATGCTTATTTAGTAAATTAACTGTAATAAATTCAATTAGATCACAAACTTTGCTACTTCGACCTTTACATATTAACAATGTTTTTGAGAACAAGCTGAGAAAGCTACGTCGTATTATCGCATTGTCGCATTGTCGTTGACGATTAATGCCCCGGAAATTTATTTAGTGGGGCGAGGGCGAAGGAGTTCTACCAAGTAAAACCCCCGCCGTAGCCTTTAACCCCGACTTGCTGATTACTTACATTAGGTTAGAGGTACCTACCTAGTAGGTATGTAGGTACCGCAGTAAGTCTTAGTTGAGATAAGGTGCCAAACACTTATATACAATGCCAAGATAATTGGGATGGTACCTGGGCAATACCTACTTCCATAGGAGTGAGTTGGTTTAGGGTAATAATGGTAACTAAAGCAGATAATGTAATAAGTTGAAAAAAGCAATAATTATTTATCTAACTGTTCTAAAAGGATGAAGGTTACCTTAGGTAGTTTTTTTTTTTCTTTTATTTTCTTTCCAGTTGCAAACGGATTCTAATAAAAGACAGTTCCACGCACAATGTACTCCGGGACTTAGTGCTGTATCTAGCATGCGCGTACCTAGGTATGCACATATGTGGGTAACATGAAAATACGCCTATGCATTCCTGGAAAGGTACCTAAATATGTTTCAGTCTTACGGGATTCCGCTTGTTTCAAAGGAAATAGAGGGGTGCTGTCCTCGCAGTTTATGTAAAAACTGTAGATCTTATAAACGTAGGTGCCAGGTAGTTAACGAGTGGAACAAAAAGATTATAGTAACATCGTCCACGATAACTATCTGGAAAGGTTAATACAAATATCAATTAACAACTTCCCAATGACGTCTTTACTATTTGTTTTATTATAGATATTTTTTATATTACCGTTTCGCCTAACTGCTTGACTTAGTAATGAATATCATAAGGCATTAACGCCGTTCAAAGATTATTTATGTATTTTACTAACTAGTAATAATCCCTAACCTCTTTGCAAGTCTTAATGTTAATAAGCCCTTTAGGCTAGCCAGTCTTCTAATTAATAAATTTACAGTGTCTCTCAAGTATAATACAAAAGTGTATACATCGAATAATAGATATCATATGTAAGTACCAGATAAGAGATCACCAGTTGAGCCACAGCTGGCAGAATGCGGTGCTTTGCCACAAGGGCTAATCCTGGTTGGATCCGTAGCAGAGGCTAGGTAAAGCCTAAGGCGACTACTAGTACTCACTTACGTACCTAGGTACTCAAAAGCGCGCTACCATTGGCCCTGAAATGTCCGCGCGGCGCATTTGGAAAGCTGAGACTCGACTTAGTATTGTACATCTATCTACCTAACATACCGTACACCTACTAACAACTGATGACACCTAACGCACAGGACGAAGTGATTACTGGCTGACGTCTCTACTTAAAACGCAAGCCATTCATTTTTTTTCTTTTTACGATAAATCTCTTCAACGCACCATCATCTCGAGCTTCGTCGCCTGTCTACCTATTTATAATCCCTACCTTTTGTCCAGTTAGTCTGAGACTTGCTTCAACTGGGCACCTTAGTGCCCGCCTTCATCGACTTCCTCAAGACTACTCCTACTCCTCGCGCAGAGGCAGATAGCTTGTCATGACATCCGTGTGACGCCTCAAACAACGCAACCATGAGGGCTAGGGGAGCTTCAGGGGCTGCAGCCTCGATATGGTCCGCAGTTTTTCTTGTAGCGACATTTTTATGGTCTGCCTCAACTGCTCACGCCGAGAACGGTCCGACCATCGTCGCAACTCCATTCGAATATCTTCCCGACAACTTACATTATTTCAAGAACTCCAATGTCGTTATGTTTCAAGAGATTTCCGGGCGCACTGTTTGGCGATCGGTTGACGGCGGCGCGACTTGGGCTAAGGCTGAAGGAATCGAACATGATAAGGCCGTCGCCCTAGTCATGCACGAACACGATCCAAACCGTGCCTATGTCTTAACGCGTGGTAATGCTCACTGGAAGACAGACGACAGAGGCAAAACATGGAAGACCTTCCTAACCGGTGCGTACCTGAGTATTTCTGAAGATGCCGTAGCACATCGGTGGATGAGCTTTCATGCGGACGATCCGGACAAGATCCTATTTACCGGCATGGAATGCCAAGGCTTTTGCGAAGATCTCGTAATGTATACTACCGACGGCTTTGAAAGCAAAGCTAAGTTCCTTCGCGGACGTACTCAGGGTTGTTGGTGGGCCAAAACGTCGCCCCTCTTTACAACCGGCAAGGAGGATTTGGACAAGCAGAGAATACTGTGCATTGTCAGAAGTGGCATGTTTTCTCCCCCGAGTGAAAATCGCCTCCTGATCTCCGACAACTATTTCAGTCCTAGGGGAGCTGATGGAGCAGTCGACGAGAAAGAGCCAAAAATAAACGGCGGCAGCTCCATTCAGGGAGTCGTGAGCATAGCTGAGGTTAAGAAGTATCTTCTAGTGGCTACCACCTCGCGTAATACAGCTGAGATGGCTCTGTACGTGAGTGTTGATACTGAAAACTGGCACCGTGCTGTTTTCCCTCACGATCACCCTCTTCTCGAATCCTCGTACACCGTATTAGAAAGTACGAATTATAGCCTCCAAGTCGATATCCGATCGAATAGGCGGTTGTCCAGTCCCATGGGGACCTTGCTGACTAGCAATTCCAACGGAACGTATTTCACTAGGAACGCTGAGCATACGAATCGCAATTTAGATAATTATGTCGACTTCGAGAAGGTCTCTGGGATCCAAGGCATATTTTTGGTCAACCAGGTAGACAATTGGGAAGATGTGGAAAAGGGTAAAGAGAAGAAAAAGATCAAGACCAAGATCACATTCGACGATGGGAGGACCTTAGAGTCCGTCAAGACAGGTGACGATGAAATTCACTTACACTCCGTTACGGAGATAAATGGGGAAATGCACAATGTTGGTCCTGTTTTTTCAAGCCCGGCACCAGGGCTCGTAATGGGCAATGGCAACCATGGGAGCCACCTTGAAAATTATTGGGACTCGCATCTCTACATCTCAGACGACGCTGGGAGGACGTGGATCGAAGGTCCTAAGGGGCCACATCTATACGAATTTGGGGACCAGGGCTCCATTCTCCTCGCCGTCAGGGATAGTAAGGAGGCTGACGTGGACGAGATCAAATATTCCCTGGATCATGGTAAGAACTGGGAGACGACTAAGTTGCCGGACGGATTAAAGATTGCTCCTTGGACATTGACTACCACCGAAGACTCAACTAGCTTGAAGTTCGTACTCACTGCTCGAAAAGGGTCGAGGACATCTCCTGACGGTTTCTACATCATCTCGATTGACTTTGAAGGATTACATGAGAATACCTGCAAAGAAAACGACATGGAAGACTGGTTTGCACGCGTAGACGACGATGGCAAGCCAAGCTGTGTGATGGGTCATACGCAGAAATATCACAGAAGGAAGAAGGATGCGAATTGTTTTATCAAGCAAGAGTTTAAGGACCCAATCCCAGAATCCTCTCCGTGCGAGTGTACCGATGCTGATTTTGAATGCGATTTTAACTTCATAAGGGACGGCGACGAATGTAAACCCGCTGGTCCTATCACACCCCCCGAGGGCGCTTGCAAGTCCGATAATCCAGACGACACGTTCATGGGGTCTTCAGGCTGGCGTCTCATTCCCGGAAATGTGTGCAAGCGCCCTGGAGGTGAACAGAAAGATAAGCAGAAGGAGTGGAAGTGCTCGGAAGCTAAAGGCTCGCCGAATGTCCCGGGAAGCGATAAGATCGAACATATCCCGTGGCATTTTGAGGGCGATTTTGACCGATTTGAGAAGCACTATCTTGAGCAGGGCGAGTCGAACAATGGAAATTATGAGACTGTAATCGCTAGACCATATAAGTCTATGGGCTTTATGTCACGGGATATTTTCGTTACGCATGATCATGGCAAGAATTGGACAAAAGCCAAGCTTCCTGGTAGCGATATCTATGCTATAGCTACCCATCCTTACAATAAGGATATGGCTTTCTTCCTCACAGAGAAGAACAGAGTCTATTACACCGCCGATAGGGGACGAAATTTCGATTATTTCGAACCAAAGGATCCGCCGGACTCTAAATCAAGGATGCTACCTATTGCCTTCCATCCGGACCGAGAGGATTGGCTAATATGGCACGGACAGAAATGCCATGGCGGTAACTGCTACCTTGAAGCTTCTCTTTCCAAGGACCGCGGTGATAATTGGGTGACGATAAAGCGGTATGTGAAAAAATGCGCATTCACCGGCTCATCCTCGAACAAATTCCGGAATACGACGCAAATTATTTGTATCGCAAACGCACGAGAAGACAACGAAAAAAGCAACCCGCTCCAGCTCTTATATAGTGACGACTTCCCAAGATATGAGATGACCGTCGCTTTGGATAATGTCATTGATTTCGCTACTATGGCCGAGTTCATCGTCGTCGCTGCGGAAAACCAGACGGAGACGGGCAACACGCTCAAGGCGCTGGGCAGTCTAAATGGACGGGATTACGCACCTGCGCATTTCCCGTACAACTTTGAGGTTCCGCATACGAGCGCCTATACTGTTCTAGACAGTTCGACCCACGCAGTTAACTTATTCGTTGTAACCGACAAGGAAAAAAATCGAGAGTTCGGATCGATTCTCAAGAGCAATTCCAACGGGACGTCCTACGTCCTTAGTGTGGCAGGCGTTAACTGCGACGAGGAGTTTTTGGTAGATTTTGAGAAGATGCTTGGGCTAGAAGGTGTTGTGCTTGTGAATACGGTTCAAAACAGGGACAGCGACTCGGAGCCAAAGAGGCTTCAGACACGCATCAGCCACAACGACGGCGCCCAGTGGGGATTTCTTCCGCCTCCCAAGAAAGACTTGGATGGCAACGATTTCAGTTGCCACAGCCAAAGCGGCGACGAGTCGTGCGCCCTCCATATTCATGGCTACACTGAGCGAGCGGATCAAGGAAAGTCGTATTCATCAGAGTCAGCTATTGGTATCATGTTTGGCGTCGGTAACGTTGGCCCTGTCCTTGGGGATTCTAAAGATGCGGACACATTCATGACAACCGACGCCGGCCTTAGCTGGAAAATGGTGAAGAAGGGAAGCTGGACGTGGTCTTTTGGCGATCAAGGGTCCATCGTGGTTCTTGCACAAGACAATACCCGAACTAAGACGGTGTCATACTCACTCGATCGAGGTGAGACTTGGAACGATTATACGTTCTCGGATGAAGACATGGTCATCACCGATATTACTACTCTGCGATCTGGTTCGTCTAGGAACTTCCTTCTTTGGGGCCAGCAAGGGAGCAAGCTCATGGCCGTAAACCTGGACTTTTCAGGTTTGGCGAGTGAACCATGTAAGGATGATAAGGACCGAGAAAAGTCGGATTACGAACTATGGTCGCCGGAACATCCTATGCAGGAGAATCATTGTTTATTCGGCCACAAGAACTCGTACCTACGCAAAAAGAATGACAGGAAATGCTACAACAACATTGACCTTCAGCCACTGTACAAGACCGAAAACTGCGAATGTACTCGATCAGACTTTGAGTGGTAAGTGCAGAGGCAGAAGCCAAACATACGGGGACGAGTGTTACAGTTGCTAACTATCATGCTGCAGTGATTATAACTTCGAACTAGATAGCCACGGTCATTGCAGGCTCGTCGATGGTCTCAAGCCCCTTGACCCCGAGCAGGTATGTAAAGAAAACCCGGACGAGTTCGAGTATTACGAACCCAGCGGCTTCCGCCGAATCCCCTTGACAACCTGCCGGGGTGGCTTCGAGGCGGACAAGGTGCTCAAGGCGCACCCTTGCCCAGGCCACGAGGAAGAATTTGAAAAAGCCCGCGGCATCTCCGGCGTCGGCATCTTCTTCGCTGTGGTGATCCCAATTGGCGTCGCGTCAGCGGTTGGCTGGTGGGTTTACCGTAACTGGCAAAGCAAATTCGGGCAGATTCGGCTCGGGGAGCAAAGCAGCCTCAACGGCGATTCACCATGGGTCAAGTACCCGGTGGTAGCCGTATCTGCTGTTGTAGCAGTAGCCGGTGCGCTGCCCCTTTTAGTAGGCAGCCTATGGCGTACGGTGAAAGAAAAGGTCCGTAGCAGAGGGGATAGCGGCGGGCGCTACAGCTGGCTACAGGGAGGCAACCAGAGGAGGTATACGACGAGAGACAGTTTTGCCCGAGGCCGAGGCGATTACGCGATCGTCGATGAAGACGAAGGCGAACTTCTCGGCGATGACAGTGATGACGATGCGTGAATGTCGTCGGTTTGGGGATAAGATGGAAGGAAACGGAATGTACTTGTAAGTAGGGGGCGCACCGGCAAGGTTTAGGAAAGTCACGATCTAGATGAGAAGTATGGCAGTACGAATGGTGGTGGTGGTGATGGTTGTGGTTGTGGTGGTACTAGCTGGAGAAGCCAAGACATTAAAGTGTATCATTGGCTTCATCATCTACAACTACGCTCGGTATCGGTAGCAAACATGATGGAAAAGATAACCTTAGATTTGATTTCCCCTTTTATTTTTTTTCTCTCTTCTTTTTCCTGTTCTACTTAGCATTGTTGCTCGGGGTTCAGGAGTAATGGGACGGCTTGCATTGTGAGCTTGTCTTGTGTATCATTTCCTTCTGACGGTGCCGTCCTATCCGTAAGTTTGCCAGGGAAAAAAGGTATCTAATCTAATCAAAGGCATTGGGTTGGATTTAAGTAGATTAAATCTAGGCTTTCCATGTAGAACAGAGTATACCTAGACGAATCGAGTTTTCCAGATTTCGTCTGAGTCTGATACAGCAAAAAGAAGATACCTAAAATGTATGTGAGATACCAGGTACCTAGATAAGTACCTAACCTAGGTATGCACAACCCCTGAATATAATTCTCTACGATGGCATCATATTGTACTTACGTCCTTCCCCATACAGTGCAATTTATACTATGCATAACTACCTAAGTACCTCTATGTGCAATACGTATAAACACCTAAAACCCTGTTACCCCCTTCTCCCAGGGATGGTAGCGTAGCGGGACGCTCGGGAACCAGGATACGAGGCTTAAGGAACGGTGGTCCCTTGGGAACACTTGGGACGCGATGCCCTGTTTTCCATTTTCCTTCCTTCGTGTTCTATTTTTCTTTTCTCGTTCGTTCTGCCGTTTTCACGTTTCCACGCACGTCCTAATTTTTTAATACAGTAGTAGTATTACTGTAGTACGAAGAGATGGGGTACGCCGCACGCGTACCTGCAGGACGCGACGGATATCTGGTACCTGTGATGTAGGAGGTACGTACCCACTACGTAGTCTATCTCTATTAGGTACCGCCGTGTCGGTGCACGTATCTCATTACCTACCTACCTAAGGTACATGTAGGTATTGGCCTAAGCCTAAGTAAATAGGCTAACCTGGAATAAATAGAAAACCACGCTATCACCGCCCTAAGCTGTTCCGGCGCCTATCTCGACTAATACCTTGCGTCACAACGACCGTCTATATTATCCTACATACCTAGTATACCCGCCCGACAGCTACGCTAACGTTTCAACCAGGTAATAGACGAAAACTATCTCATTCGTCTAGTGTAGATAGATAGATAAATAGGTAGATAAGCTACCTAGCTATGTATGTGATCCGATCGTCAGCTCTCTTCTCTCCACTGACCTATGGGATCCATCTATACCCTGTCTCAGCTCATCTAGCTGACATAGCGCATTCATTATCACTTTCTCGAATTATTGCTTCTTGCCATCACTGATCAGGCCATGGAAGCCGTAGCCGAATGAGCAGAAAAAAAAAAAGGTTTGAAGTGTTCAACGGTTCCAAGAACCTCGGTCCGGGCATAGTATATTGGAACTATAAAGCTAACTAGGTGGTTAATGCTCCGGAAAGCCTCTTCTAAGTAATCTGACAGGATGTAGTAGTGTAATAAATGAACTACCACAAGGGAGGGGGGCTTTTTGGAATTGCGACACTATTGCTTTCTACTCCCGCTCTTCCTTAAGACATGTCTCGTACTAGGCCTATAAACAACAAACGGCCCTACAACAATCAATAACACATTTTAATACCTTGCCCCCCAAAGAAAACCCCCTCCGTAACTCCAGGCAATGATTGATCATATTTCCATATACATGAACGCCGAATTGGATATGCTTATCGCAATCCCATGTCATTTGTTTCCCCTCCGCAACTCTTAGGCGTGAGATTCGTTTCGCAAAATGAATAATCAAAAGTATGGTACCGGCATGAGACAAAAAGAGTCTAATGGATGGGATAGTAATAAATGTCGTGGTGAGAGAAAAGCTACGTCGGAAAGTCGCGTAACCGTAAGGTAATCCGGTCGCTCCAGTTGCTCATTCCCGCTGCAGCCGACCTGTCAAGTTTAACCTCTTCGTACTTTGTTCCAGAAGCGCTTCACAACATTGTTCTCCGTAGGAGCAGGAAGACCGAGTTCGTGGTCGATATCCGCGAAAATCTTGTCTATGCTCGCTTTAGCACCGTGACTAGTATGCGGAGCAGAAATATGGGCATCGTCCCGCAATGCAAGTACTTGCGACGGTTTGCTAGAGTACGGCCGTGGCGCTGGTTGCCATCCGTACATCTGATCTTCGCAGGCCCGTAGATCGGGTCGCGTAAGCGTCATACGTAACGTCATCTCGCGGGAAGCTGCAGGTACCTGCGCATAAGCTTCTGATGATTTAGATGGATAATCATTGGTGCGCGGTTGTTGAAGCGACTTGTCCCGTTTATCTAGCGTGTCGGGAGTCTTAGGCGATTCGGGATCCGGTAGTGATACGTCGTCACTATAAATTGACGACTTATCATCTTCTAGAAATGTTTTGAATTTCTCAGAGTCCGGAGAAAGGATCCCGTCAGACTGGCCCTTCGTGCTTGGTAAGTCTCTATATGGAATAGCCGAAGAATCGCTCGAGGGAAACCCGAATTCGATTGCTTCATCAAACTTCTGTGGTGAAGCTAGGTAGACTCGCAGCTTCAAGCGCGCTTCAGGATCCTGATAATGGGTAGCGCTGGGGTCGATTGAAGAAATTGACTCATGAGGAGCATGCTTCGGAGTAATAAGCGACAGCGCTCTGGATTTCCGGCGTCCGGGTTGCGGGTGGCCAACTAAGGTAGCAGCAGAAGTTGAGTTGGCGGAGGGGGGTGGCTGCTGCGCATCTTTGGTTCCCGGTCGACTCGACGAGACAGATGTGCGACCAAATGGGACCTTGGAAAAAGACATATGTCGACGGAACGAAGGGGGCATTACGTCTTTAGTAGGTATGGGTGCCGATTCCTTTAAATTCGCGTGGTAGTCGTCGAGAGCAAGGCGTAGATTAAGATCCTCTTCTTCATCCAGCCATCGGAAGCTATCGTAGAGCGAATCACGCTTTCCAGCGGAAGCATTGTCGCTTAGTAGAGACTCCATGCTAGGTCGCTCTGACGAAGACAACGTTGGTGGATATACTGGAGGTGGAGAAGGGCGCCTGTTTGCAAGACGGCCAGCTCTGAAGAACGCTTCGTCAGCAGCATCCAAGATGACGCTCTGCCTCAATTGTCTGGCGACAAGGACTTGCTCCTCCCTGGTCAGGTGTTTCTCCCTGATCTTGGCGGGAAGCTTAGCCAGGAACGCACTGTCGGTAAAAATTATGTTGTCCTGATAAGCTGGAGAGGTAATCGGTCGCTCTACTGGCCTTCGGGGGACGATAATGCCGAGCGATGCTCCACGACGCTGATGTCGACGAAACTCCTTGTCGGGTGGGTTGGAGGGGTCCAAGATACCAATTGTCTGAGCAAGACGTAAACGCTCCAAGGTGGAGAAATACTGTAGAGAGGAGGGGGGGGAGGAGTTAGTAAAAGCGTTCAAGACTTGGAAGTTGACTACCTAGGTGGTAGGTAGTCGCCCAGTAGAAGACCAAAAACAATTATGTGAAATATACGAAATAATGTAAGAATTGTAGGAATATGTAATGCAATGTGTAATGCAATATGTAATGGGAAGGGGTGAAAGTGTGCCGTGCTGCAGGAACGGGCATAGTTGACCTAGAAGGAAGCATCCATGCATGCAAGAAGCGTTATGAAGAACGCAGGCTTGCACTCGCAATGGCCCAAAACGTCCAGAAGGTTGCAGTGGCAATATGCAGTAATATGCAAGGTAGTTGCGCCTGCAGCTCGATGTTGTTTGGGCTAACAGCCTATAAGCGAACGGCTACCCAACTCTCATTGGCAGTTGTTTTCCAGCGTTCCTTCTCACCCCCCTTTCCAACCTTAGTACAAATATCCCAATTGGCAGGAAACACTTGCCACGCAAAGTTGCGTCGGGTTGGGTCGGGGCGCGTCTCTGCACTCTAACGACAAGAAGGAGGAAGGTATGTGGTCTAGAATAGGATCGCGTTTTACACGTGTAAACATCCCGTGGTCGCTTTCTTCTTTTTCCCTTCCCTTTCGTACCTTTTTTTTTTTTTCCTTTTTCTTTTTTTCTTGAGGCTTCCCCTCAGTTGGACCGCTTTTATGAGTAGTTCCTTGATAGTGTGTAACCAACCACACGTACGGAAGTAGAATAAGATAAAGTAAAAATAATAAAATGAAATTATTAAATTGAATAATTAAATTATAACTCACTTTTCGCCTGATAGCTATGGGAAGAGCTTCAAATTCCTCAATTTCCTTTCGTGTGAGATGTGGATGCGGCGGTAGCGCCGTGTCGCAACTGGGCTGATCCCTCTCATTTTTAGTCATTTTCCTAGCCGTACTATTGCTATTGACCGTCGTGCCTAACCATTGTCGGAGCGAACTAAGCGAGTGGTGATTCGGTCCTGAATGGCCTCGGTGTGAATGCGCCTTCGGAGGTTGCGCTAGCTCGTGTTGCTGTCGAGCCTGATCGAGAAGGCTGTTGTGATAATCCACGGTACTACGTAGGTCGACAGCATTGGGGCGGGCTGCTTGAATGTCTGGATAGTTCCCTTCGCCTGCGAGTTTGCTATTCGCGCAGTGCCGCCGCATCGTCAATATAATAAGGCCTAATTAATTAGTTTGGACGCCAGAAAGCATTATCTAAAATTCGAAAAGGGTTTAGGAGAGACTATCAAATTTAGCTCAACGAAGGCATAGCTGGTTCTCGAAATCAGAATCTTTGATGGAAACAACAGAAAAGAGAAAAGGAAGGGGGGTTTAGAGAAAGGAGTCGTCCAAATGTAATGGATAATAATACGACTTGCGTAGAAGGTACCAAATCATAAAATTGAACCCGGTATTTGATCCAGGGCGCAGTGTTCGGAGAACCAGAAGAAAAAGAGAGAGAACAGGCAATACGTCCAAATGGGTGAGTACATAGTAAGTAGGTAGTATCATACGGGATGAAGCTCTTGGAACAAAAGTTAGGTACTGGGATAAGTGCTTGACAGTGCGGTTCCCGAATGCTGGGAATTTCAGGATCCCAGCAGTAACTTTCGACCAGGAAACCTTGACCAGGATAGGTATTGACCGTTTTTTTTTTTTTTCTGCCCGGTCTTTGCTGGGGACTGAGAAACATTATTGACGGGACGGCTTAACGGGGATGAGAACCTAGTTCTTATTGAGTTAGGCCAGGAACATCGGATACTCTAAGAGGAAATAAACTGGAGAAAGCAGAGCAATTCGTGGGGTTCCACCTATCAAAAAACATGGCTGACCTGAGGACGACTTTGCTACCCCTGGGCCTGTGCTTCCGGCCCTGCAGCTGTATTTTACGCCTCTTGTGCCCACGTAAGCCAGCGCTATAAGCTACAGTAAAACCTTAATATAACGAATTGGAAAAATCGGGGGGTTAAATTCGTTATATAGTGAATTCGCTATGGAAAAAAAATACATTAAGAAATATTTTTTTAAAAAAGTAAATATCATATAAATGTTATAAATTAATAGCTTAATAAATTATATTAAGTATAAAAATAAAGTAATAATTAATAATAACTTAAGTAAATATTAAATAATTAAAGTTTAAAAAATTAATAAATTTTATATTTAATTTATATTATTATTTATTTAAAAATTAAAATTTATTAATATTATATTTTAATAACTTTTTAATTAATATTATTATTAGTTAAATATAATATAAATGTTAACCTTAATAATACCTTTTTACCTTTTTAAATAATATATAATTTATTACTTTTAAATTATTTTTTAAATAATTCCTTTAAAGTTTAATTTTTTAAAAAAAATTAATTAAATAAAATATAATATTAACGAATTAAATTTATTACCTTTTAACTATATTTTAAAATTAATAAATAAAATAACTTTAATTAAAATTAAATTAAAATTTATTAAATTTATTAAAATCTTAAAGATAAAATCGTAATTTTATAAAATAAATTAATTAAATTTTAATAAAATAATAATAATAATAATAATAATAATAATAATAATAATAATAATAATAAACTTAATTTATAATTAATATAATAAAATATTATAATTTTATTATTAATTAATAAAGAATTTAAACCTTTTTTATTATTAAAATATAATAGTATTATTAATATAAAAAAAAATTAAAAAAAATTTAATATATTTTTAATAAATATGAAAATTTTAAAGATATATTTAATATTCGAAAATCTGTTTAAAAAAACGTATAAAAAGTTATTTAGAATCTTAAATAAATTAAAAAAAACTTTTAAATATACCACTAAATTTAAATGTTTAATAATAATAATTTAACTTTTAAAAATATATAATTTAATTATTTTTATAAAAGATTAATAATATAAATAAAAAATTAAATTTTAAAAAAAAGTTTAAGTACATTAATAATTATATTTAATAAATTATTATTTATAATAAAAAATTAAAAAAAGACTTTTTATTTAAACATATAAAAAGCTTAAAAAAAAACTTTAACGTTATTAAAATAAAAAAACTAAAAGAAATATATTTAAAGTAAAGTATTATAATTATAATAAAATAAAATATATAATTAAAATTTATAAAATGTTTAAAAATAATTAAAAGTTTTTAAAAGTAAATTAAAAGCTAAAATATCTTAAATTATTAAAAAATACAATTATTTAATAAAAGAAAAATTATTAAACAAAATTATTAAAAACTTTTTATATAAAAAATATTTAAATTTATAAATATAATTATATTATAAAAAAGAATTAAAAAATAATTTATTAAGTTTCAAATTTATTAAAAAAATAAAATATAATTTTAAATGATAAATAAAGAAAATTATAAACTTTTATTTTTTAATACTTATAAAATGGTGGTTGTGTGACATCGACGCGTAAGCACCTTATCGGGGATAAAGTGCCTTGTCGCCGATACTGGAGGGAGGAACAGTGTACCCACTATTACTGTATAAAAGGACATTACACTGCTAGCTAGCTTCAGATAGATTCTTCCCTCCTTAAACATCATCAATACACCAGTCTCACCCCCATTGTTATTTGATTTACTTGTTTATTGCTTTATATTATACGTACGTACTTACTAACATAAAAGCTTTTTTTAAAAAAATAATAACGTTTTTATATAAATATAAATTATTAAATAAGAAAAATAAAAAAAATAAAATTTTAATATATTTTTAATAAACGAATAAATAATTTAAATTCTTTTTATATTAAGTTAAATTTAATTATAAAAATTAAAAATATAATATTTTTTAATTATTAAAAGAATATAAAAATAAGAAATTATAAATATTAAAATTAAATTAATAAAATTAATTATAAATAAGTTTTTTTAAAAAAAAAGGGAAAAAACGTTTAATAATATAAAAAGATTTATAAAATATTAACATGGATATTTTAAAAATAATATATATTTTATAAAAAACTTTACGAAAAAAGTTATTAAATATTAAAAAATGAATTAGCATTTTTAAAATTAGAAAATTTAATTAATAATTAAAAATACATATATATAACTCATAATAAAACCTAAAATATAAAAAACATAAAAAAATACTTTAATTTTTTTATTTTAACGATTATTATTATTGTGATAAACTTATATTTAAGTCTATTAAAATATAATAGTAATGGGTTTTAATTTTTAGGTAAATAGTAATAATATAGGTTAAATATTAATAAATGTTAAAATATTTATTAAAAAAGCTTAAAGTTTTTCCTTTTATATAAATTAAATATAAAATTTAAATTAATAATTAAAAAAAACTTAAATAAATGATTAAATATATAATGGTTTAAATAAACTTATTATTCTTTTACTATATATATTTATTTATTATTTAAAATTTATTAAATCTATATAATTTATTTAATATTTAACTATATTATTATTAATTATTACTTTATTTCTATACTTAATATAAACTTATTAACTATTAATTCGTAACAATTACATATACATTAAAGTTAAATATTATATAAGCTTTTAACTTAAATTAATTAAAGGATATTTATTTATTTATAAAAATAAATTAAAAAATTAAAATTAAAATTAAAATTACTTTATTAAAAGATATATAAATTATTATTATTATTATTAACATTACATTATTAATTAATAATAAATTTAAAAGAATTATAAATTTATTATTTTAAAAAAATATATTAAAGCATATAAAACTATTATTTAAAAAAGTTTTAATATAATATAAACAAATAATAACCATTTATACGTTATAATAAAATAAAATAATAAAAAGTTTAAAACATTTATTAATTTAAAACATTTAATAAACATTATATAATTAAATATTAAAATAAAAAGTAATTATATAAAAAAACAATAATTAATAAAAAATTATAAATTTCTTTATTTAAATTTAACAAAAATCATAGGAAATTTCTTTTAATATTATTAAAATTAAATATAATATAATTAAATATTAAATAAAAGTTTTAAATTATAAACTTTATAATTATAAAATTAAATTAAAAAAATAATTCCCGAAATTTAATAAAGTATATTTATTAAACGTAAATAAATAAAAAGTATTAATTAAAATTATTAAACAAAAACTTAAAATATATATATATAAATTAAATTTACTTATAAAGAATTTAATCTTTTTAATATTTAAAAAATAAAGATAAAATATTAAAATGTGTATAATTATTAGTATTTTAATTTTATTATAAAATAAAATAATTATTCTTTATTTAATATTAATAGTTTAATAGAAGTAATAAAGAATATAAAATAGTTTATAATATTAAATTTTAAAAAAGCTTTTTACTTTATTTATATAATTAAAAAAATAAATAAAAAATAATAATATAAATCCTTTTTAGTTATTATAAATGTTCAATTATATCATTTAAATTAATAAATACGTTAACCATATTTTTAAAAAATAGTTTTTATTTATTTAAATAATATTTTAATTTCTTTTTAATATTTTTAATTAACACGAAAAACACGTGGATAAAATATTTAAAAAATTAATCATTTAAAATATATTATTGTAATATAATAATTTTATAATTTTATGAATTATAATAAATAACTAATAAAAGATTTTTAAAAAAAATTATAAACTTTATAATGAAAATTATATATAAAAAAGAAAAAGGTTTTTAATAAATTAAAAAAACGAACTATGTTTTTAAAAAAAATATATAAGGTAATTATAAATAATTTAATTATGAAATTACTAAAGTTAAAATAATTTAAAAAAGAAAATATATAAGTAAATACGTTAAGTAAATTTACGGACATTAGTATTAAAGATATATTAAAAGAAAAAGCAGTATTTATGTTAAATAAATAAAAATATAATCACTTATTAAAGAAAAGTATATATATTTAAAAAATTATAATATAAATTTATAAACAATTATAATATAAATTTATAAAAAATTATTACGAATATTTTTTATATAAATATTAAAAGATTTTTAAAATTATAATAAAAATTATATAAAATTATAACTTTTTAAAATTATAAAAAATAATTAAAAAAATTATTAATAATTGTAATATATATAATAAAATTAAAGTAATTAAATATAAACATTTTATATTATATTAAAAATTTAACATTATAAAAGATTTAATATATTCTTTTTTAAAAAATATAATTAATAAATATAAGTTATTAAAATATATTATTTTAAATAAAAATAAACTTTTTATATTTAAATTTTATATTATTTTAATAAAAAAATATTAAATAAAAGTTATTTATTATATATTATTTATAATTAAACAAATAAATAAAATAATTAAGTAAAATTATTATTATAAACGGAAATAACATATAATAATTCCATTAATAAAAATATAAAAATATCCTTTTTTTTAAAATAAACATTAATTATATTTTGTAATTATGGAGTTAATTAGTATAAAAGATATTTTGCGTTTAGGGTAAAAGTTATAGTAAAATAAGTTATTATTATTTAGAAGTATTTAATTAATAAGTTCAAATTTTTACAAGGAAAAATAAAAAAATATAATAATAAATATAAGATTAAAGGATTAATTTTTAAAAAAGAAAATAAAGTTTATTTATTATAATAAAATATTAAAATTAAAAAACCAAATAAAAACTTAAATTATAAAAAATCTAATTTTTTTAAACTAAAAAGGTTATTTTAAAAATTAATTATAAATTATTATTATTAGTAAAAATAAAATTATACTTAGTTTTTCATATTTCTTTATTAAAATTAACATTTAAAAACATATTTATATAAATTATTTTAAGTATTAAAATAAATTAAAAATACAAAGTTAAAAAAAATATTAAATATTAAATTATTTAATAATTAAATTAAATACTTAATTAAATAAAAGGATTACTCATTAAAGGAAAATATATAAGAATTAATTAAATACTTTAAAAATGTTTAAGAATTTATTAAAGGTTTTTATTAAAAAAACTTTAATTATTTATAAGTAAAAGAAAATAACCTTAATAGGATTATTTTTATTAAAAATGTTAAAAAATATAACTATATTAAATAAATTAAAAATATTTTAACTTTAATTTTCATTATTTTCTTTTAAAAATAAAATTAATTAAACTATTAAATATATTTAAATATCTTATTTTAATATTTATTGATTTTTTTAAATAATTAAAATAAAACATTATTTAAAGAATTTATTTTTATTACGCTATAATTAAAATAATTATAAGTTAGGAAATTTATAATTAAAAAATAAAAAGTTTTATTAATATAAGAATAATAAGAATAAAATATTTTATAATAATTGAAAGTTTTAATAAAAAAGTACGAATTTTATAAGCGGTTTTTTAATTAAACTTACGCTTAGTTTTTATAATAACTTTTAAAATGCGTTTTAACATTATAATATATAAATTAACATTAAGTAAAAAAAAATAAAAAAAGATAAAAAGATTTAACGGGATTTTTAAAAGTAAAAAACTTAAAAAATAATAATATTATAAATTAATAGTTTAATAAGTTATATTAAGTATAAAAATAAAGTAATAATTAATAACGATTTGAGTAAATATTAAATAATTAAATTTTATAAACTTTATAATTTTAAAAATTTAATAAATTTTAATAAAATTAATAAACTTATTTAAAAATATTATATATTTAAATATTTATTTAAGTTTTTTAATAAATACTTTAATATTTATTTTAACATTTAATTTATATTATTAAATTTTTATTATATTATATATATATAATATTTATATTTACCAACTCTCGCTCAAATATTCATTCCCTTTTCAACGTTGGGAATGGCTAATAGTCAAATGACCGTCGGTTGATGGTTTATCAGACCTTGCAAATCCCCCTATGGAATACCTAAGTTAGGGAATTATGTGCATTGCATTCCACCCCCAACTGCAATTCGTTCAATTTATTAGAAACTGTACATAGGTACAGACATACATTCTTACAACATCTCTCTCCTTGAGTGCCGAGTTCGTCGGCATGATGTTTTAATATTGAAGCGCAATACCACGCTCAGACACGATCAGTACTCGGCTGCTATGCATTGCGAGATATTAAAGGAATGATGTATACCAAGACTATCATCACTCGCGGACGCGGCGCTACGAGCCCACAATATGTACGTGCCTGTTTCATTTGCTACCCGCTCATCGCGATGCTGTCATGGTCATCTACAAAGTCCACTACCTAACACCAGTCTCTATACTGGTATTAGGTAGTAAAACAATTCTACCTATATAGGTTGGTAGGTATGTAATTCATTATTGACCTTGCAGCCACGGGACCATCAATGATCATACCGCTATTAAGAAACTATTATTTCTTGGTTCTAGCTTACCGAGTTAGCTGTTCTCTAAAGCCTTGTCAGCTGTCGGTATATTCCGGTCAGTACCGCACGTTTCTGAATCACACACGGACCCCGAGCTCAAGACCCTGTGATAATACTACCATGTACACACTTCTGTGGCTCCTATGTACCTAGTCACAGCCAATGCCAGACTATCTCGTGGTCCAGATCGATCCGTGGCCATCGTTCAGATACCCTCTTATTATAAATTTGACGTGGTATTCTCTCCCGTCGAACCTATTATGTGAGGCTTGATCTAGCGTAGACGGACTCCTGGAAATATGTGATGAGACGATGCTCTCCGTACTACTTCACGGTAGCCGAGTTACCGAAACTCTCCTTCAGCCTTCGGCTAACTACCTACCTTTTAATGAGCGCACCCGCTCTGGCTCTACGGAATGACTAGGGTCGTCTGGGTTATGTTCTTTCTAGAAATCACCAAGACAGCTGAACCCAGTATATTAAATGCCTACGTACACGCTAGAGGCTCTTAGTCTCAGATCACGGTGGCTATGCGCCGTGGCTTCGATCAGACCAAAAAAAAGCATGGAAGCACGTTGCTCGCAATGCTAGTGGTTTTAAGTTGCATGCAAGGGCACATGGCGACATGCCACCAGATCATAATCCATCCAGTCTGCCAGTCCATGGGGGGGAAACTAGTGTACAGATGGTACGTAATGAGCTTTGACAGGATCGACTCTTGCAATATACATAATAACTAGGTAGGTACCTGACCCATAGACTCCAAAGCTATCGAGCGCATGACTATGCGCCATACTAAACACTATTTGCATGGCAAGAACATAGAATACTGCGAAACCCGGGGTTGAGCTTGGAACCTCGGATAGGACCAACTTACCTAGGTACATGCTAGGTACCTAAAGCATAATATTAGACAACTAAATAAACTAGCGATGCTTCTAAGGAGGAGATTAATATCTTGACTTCCCTCAAGGCAGAGCACCTGTACCGGTGGTATTTCGAACGGCCACCAAAACAAGGAACTTTAAAGTCAACATCTACATTACGCCACTTGAATATTATACAAGGTTGCCATTATAAGAGATATATGGGCTACTTTAACTACACAGGTAGCTGGTCACCACCTTATCAGCAACGAGGCTACCGAGTTTTCATCTACCTAAGAGGACAGCAACGGGAATTTAAGGTAGTTCGGCAAATGTAAATTGGTTCCTAAAGCTGTCCCATACGAGTTTTCGCCCTTTGAGAGGCGATAGTAGTTATTAACCTCCTATTCTGGAGGTTTGACTTTGCGTTCATTGATCATCGAGACCTCATTATCGTCGCATAAACTCGGAGCCTGTATAGGGGTGAATTGGAGCCGAGTTTCTCATTTTTTACACCTCCAGTTATTTCGCATGGCTTGTATGAGTTTCAAGGAATTATAAGAAATAGCCCGCCTATACCGTCATCTAGAAACACTACCTGAGCAGGGGAAGACTCTTGGGCCTGTTCACCAAAAACCATTCGGATAGAGTGGCTACGAGGTCGAGGTAGCTAAACATCACTCAGGTCCAGCCGAAACTATTTCCCATCTACCAATGATACTAAAAGACTCAGATACGCCTTGGATGGGCTTCTTTTGGTAAATTAGTACGTCATCTTAAGTCCTCAGCTGTTGCTTTCTCGGCTTTGGTGATGGAAAACTGCCAGTCTCATCTGAAGTCATTGTCCTAAGGTTCGACCAGAGTAGGATCTGGTTAGACTCACAACCGACAAGAGCCTCTCAAGCTGTTCTTGGTCTAACACATACTCAGAATGAAAAACCTGAACCGTTATTACTCGCACTACATCAGGCGCGGTACCATGTGCTTATACAATTTTCCTTCGCGGTCAAGGATGGCACAATGTCGTACACCCAACGACCCCGTCTCCACGAATAATCTGACCAAGTCTTCCTCCGTTCGGCTGGCGAAGTAAATTTACAGAAAAAGAAATGTAAGCAAAGATAGTCGGCCTTGGAGCGTTGCTACCGGCTGGCGAGGCTGTGAGGATCATCCTTCCGGAAAGAAACGACTATATTAACCAGTTCAATGTAGGATGTAGGCTCTAAGACGAGAGCCCCGACTAGCAGCACGGCTATGTCAATATATTACACATATAGTATCATATCTTCTAACCTCGAGATGTGAAGTTAAGATGAGTTAATGGCTCGTAACTATTAAGGTATGTATGTCTTCAAATCGTCATCATTCTGCCTTAGTATCAAATATCCCAGGTTAATTCGTTACACACTCTTCGTCCTTAACCTCAACATATCCAACAAACAACTTGATCTAACAGCTATCACACCCTCCTCTCCTTTCATTTCTAGTCCCACATAAGGTAGGTATCTACCATTTAGGAGACCGACACCTTAGCCTAAGAGCTGGGTAGCAAACTATCAAGCGGATCGTAGTACTGATAAACCTTCCCCTCCTTCCCGTTCCTCGTCAGCGCCGGCTGCGTGTACGTCGAGATGCCCGTCGTCCGATCATACGACTCGTAGAGCGCGGCGGGCCTCTTCCCGCCGCCCTCGGGGAGATCGACGACGAACTTAGGGATGTTGAACCCGGCGACGATGCCCTGGATCGCGGACTCTATGTCTAGGATCGTCTGTAGCGGCGTGCGTAGGTGCTCGATCTTCTTCACCATGTCGCACTGGTAGACGTAGTACTGTTTTAAGGAAAAATGGAAATTAAGTTAATCACTTCGTCTGTTGGTCGATCGGATTGGAGATGGGATTGGAAGGGAGAAAGGGAAGGGAGGGAAGAGGTACTCACCGGCTGGATGTTCAACCTGGCCAACTTCTTCACCAGCGTGCTTATCGTATCGACGTTATCGTTGATACCCCTCAGCAGTACCGTCTGGTTGCGCACCGTCACACCCGCCTGCGTCAGTTTGAGGCTAGCCAGCTCCGTGATCCAGGAGATCTCGTTGGGGTGGTTGAAGTGCGTGTGCAGCGCCATGTGCTTGCCTGCCTTGCGCGCCTTGTCCGAGATGCGGATTAGCGTTTCCGTCCACTGGTCGTCCTTGTCGATAAATCGATGCGGTGCCACCGCTAGGCCTTTGGACGCGATCCGGAACCGCTCGACGTTCTTCATCCCGATGAGCCGGTCCCCGATCCACTCCAGCAGGTGCGGCATGATGTAGAAGGCGTCGCCACCGGATACCACGATGTCGTGGAGACCCTCTTGGCTCTCGATGTAGTCAAACGCCTCGTTTAGTCTGTCGCGCGTGACCCTGAAATTTTCCTTAGTCACTAGCTCGGTGTCGCCTCCGACACCGTAGGACCTGGTGCAGTATATGCAGTACGTCGGACAGACAGCGGTTGCTTTGACTGTTAGCAGTGATCAGAGTAAGATGTACTTGGTGGAACCATACGAAGCAGTAGCGCTTTGTCGGGATAGCGATGCACAAGAGCAGCAACTGGTTTGTCCTTCTTCTCGTCTAGGGAATCCAGTCTTAACGCATGATGGTCCGGCATCATTATAGATTTCATAGGGATAAACTGTTGGAAGACTGGATCGTTCGCCGGATCCTTCCAATCCATCCTGCTTAGGGGGTATGGCCTATTCCAAGTTAGAGCCACGAAAACAAAAAGGCCATACTGGCTAGCCAATAAACCCCTTTTATGCTTGTGCGTTCTGTACGAATTAGGGGTACTTACATGACGCGAACAGACATGGTAGACTCCCTCATACCACTGATAATATCTACCATGAGTTCGTCTCGGCTCTGCGTACCCCCTATACGATTGTGTCGAGGAACCTCGGCCGGTAGTACGTTGTCGAGGAAATCTAGTACATTGTTGGGTTGCAACACGCCATCGCGCCCTAGCTTGGCTTCAACAACGTTCTGGATCGTTTAGCGATTGCGAGGAAGAAAAGGGGAGAAAACCTACATTGACACCCCATTGCCAAGATAGAAACTTTTCCCTAGGCACATCCTTCCATAACGGAATTTTACGCCAGAACTCGTCTTCGGAATCGATGACGATTGATGGCTGTGGTAGGGGTGGTGGAGGAAGATGATAACCATTGGTCTTTGATGTGAATAAACGCCGAGGATGAACGGCGGGTTTTGGTCGTGCTAAGTAGGATAGATTCTGGGATGTGCACAAAGCCCCTTTACCACAGGAGAGGACCCGACGTCTAAGAATAGATGCAGCCATTCTCTCTGTTTGCGGTGTTATGCTGTAGGCAATTCGACGGCGTGAGAGGTAGATAATCTTGTGAATTGAATCTGTGTCTCTGTAGCTTTATAACATACCAGAATTATTCTAACCAAGATAGCCTCTTCAGATTCTTCAGTGATTTTCTTATATACCCATGAGAATCATAGCTAGAGCCTCAACACCATAGTCCGTCCGGATCACTCGCTGTCGTCAGCCATGTTGATACAATAACCATGTCACCATCCCGTTCCCTCGGGATCGGGTCTGGGATTAACGCCAACTTTACCATCCATGCTGTCCTCGGCGAATGGGTCGCATATTCCAAAACCTGCCAGTTGTCTAGATCGAGATTACCGCCGACGACAATATAAGGGATGCTGTCTGCAGAGCCGTTTACTCCGTATTTCTGACCCGGTCCAGAGGGCTGGGATCGTAGTAGAACCCCTATTTGTCGACCTCAAATATGGCGAGCAAGACCCTCAGGGTATCCGTTAATAATATGATAGTTTATGTTGCCGCTTGGTTGGTACCCAGCTAGCGTAGTATAGCTATGGATGCAACTAGCGGAAGGGGTTTGGGTAAGAAGCTGCTTATGTTTGGTGAACCTGTCAAGCAGGACCCCCCACCCCCCCGACTTCATACGATATACCTATAATGCATAACTTTAGGTTGCAATGTATTCGGCCGGTAGATAACGGATGCAAATAAAATCTATGGAGAGAGAAAGATGATCATGCCGATCGTCAGCATCTCGGATAGTATAGTCCGGCATGGGCGTTTATGTCATCCCATGGATGGAGGAGAATAGCACTGGCGGGGAGATGAACTGCCCGGTATGGTGCCGTTAGTTGCCACCATTCTTGTAAGGGGTCATAGACTACCAAGTTATGCGTTAAATTTCACTCTAGATAGTTAACCCAGGGAGACAGACTTCAGTGCTATTTGTCGAGTATACTGCCAACCTAGCTCGATAGAGTAGCTTTGCCAGCTAGCCTCCCCTTGTTAGTGCTAGATGTACATACTATGTAATTCTTCATCAGGTGGGCTACCTTGGCTTACCCATGGCCGTGGGATTTCCCCATGCCATCTTAAGTAGGTGCTCACTATGGACCACAGCGACTAGCCGTATTGCAGCCTAGACACTCCAACTCCAGCCATGCTTTACTTGGCCAAGGCTATCTAGCAGTGGACCTGAGCATGTGGGCTGCGTCTAATTTCTTGGCTTAGCAAGCGCTACAAACGACCTTTCGACTAACACCTACGTATCATAATCGATTCTATTAGAATTCATGCCATAACTGCCCGATGTTACGGTTGGTTACCTTTATCCACCCCAGTTCTCTGGGAGAATCTCTTCTGAGGACCTACCTGCGACTAATCAGATGAGAGTGAACTGTATTTAGCAATCTCCAATGCTTATGTGCTTATGTGCTTCAAATAACTCTCGCATGCAGTTTAGTTACATCCAAGAGTTAGAGGTATGTATACGATGAACGATTTTGACCTTATCGCTGTAGACCGACGGCAGCCCTCCCCCTTTGTCACTCTAAGGGGGACATGTTGTCACTCCCAGCCTCTGATTGGGTTCCGTCTACGTGGTAACGATACCTACTATCTTTTCTGATGAGTGGAGTTCAGCTGATAGGTTAACGCAGCGCCAAGTTCGAGGGCTGGTACGAAAGACCTTATACGTGGGAGTTTTTTTTTTTTTTTTTTTTTTTTTTTTTTTTTAGGGGGGGGGGGGGGGGGGGGGGGGGCCTGAAAAGACAGCCCAGAAAGATGTTGGATGGCGCCAGGGTTGTAGTAGGTAAAGTGATGAAAAATGACCGAAGAC